AATCCAACTTTTGTTAGTGCAATATGATGCTGTGCAGTTTTTGTAATCTAATATTGATTTGCACTCACACAGGTACCTCCATTGTTCCTGGATGTACACCGAGACCATTTTGTTCTTGACAGTAAGTTATTGTCCTTAAAACCAGTGCAAGAGTTTAGTTTTTCTCCAAAAAAGTATCATCACATATGCATGTATAAATAAACTTCTTATATCATATGCTTTTGAAATAGTACTGAATGGAAGAAACAGCAACATACTTTGATTTACTTTTCATTTTGTTCCATCATTGTATCTGTATGTATCATAATAATGATAGCGTTGTAGTTCCATTTGTTTTTTATTAGGAGATTAAATAATTGATTGATTTTGTGCAGTGTGTGCAGCTCCGGGCTCAAAAACTTTTCAATTACTTGAAATGATACACCAGGAATCAGAAGTGGGAGCATTACCAAATGGAATGGTTATATTTCTGTCTCTTCAATTTCAATACCAAACTATCTTTTTTTTTAAAATGTTTGTATATGGAAAAGGGTATGATTATGAAAGTGAATGATTTTTGATGGGTTCATTAGGTTATAGCAAATGATGTGGATGTACAACGATGCAATCTTCTTATTCACCAAACAAAGAGAATGTGCACTTCTAACTTGGCTGTGACGAATCACGAAGCACAACATTTCCCGAGTTGTCGCTGGAAAAAGAATAATACCACAAATGGTTCTGATTTGGGGGGTATGAGTATGACTGAACTTTTATTTGATCGTGTGCTGTGTGATGTTCCATGCAGTGGAGATGGTACTCTCCGTAAGGCCCCTGATATTTGGAAAAAATGGTAAATTCCTTTTCTACCCCTATGTTACTTGGGGCATTAAGTCCTTCCTGTAGAGTGGCTGAATGGGTAATTATGTCGGTCTGGATAAAATGTTACCAACAAGACTAAATGCCCATTTTACCCTTACTTTCTAATGAATCTTTTTAACAATATTCATTAAGTTTGAAGGGAAAATAGGTCATTATTATGTCCAACAGATTAAACAGAGCTGTTGAGATTAAGTCAATTGTGTCTGAGATTAAGACTGTATTTATTGCATTGGACTGAAACAGTCTGATGTGATTGTGAGTTGTGACAAATTTAATGAAAGGATATCTGATTGCCTTGTATTTCTTTGTGAAATGCAGGAGTGTGGGGATGGCCAATGGTGTCCATTGTCTACAACTTCAGATAGCCATGCGAGGTTTGTTATAAGTTATTAATAGTTGTTATATACTAAAATAAGCAGACACAGACCTTTATATGTTATAATGGGGTTGTAAGTGAGTGGATCTGAATTCTTTTTCTTTCCAAGAAAAGAATAGTAACAAAACCTTTCTCCTCCTGATCTTTTCAGGTTTGGCATTGCTTAAAACTGGTGGAAGAATGGTTTACTCAACATGCTCTATGAATCCAGTTGAAAACGAGGCCGTAGTGTCTGAGGTATATTTAACAAGTGTGTTTCTTAGAAGACCCATTTAGGTTATTAGGCGAAATTAAGCTTATAATATGAGAAAAGGGAAAAAATTAACTCTTGTGTTAGGGTTCTTCTCATAGTCTCATTTATTGACATCTACTATGTGCCTTCATTCATGTTCTCAAGTCTCCACCCTCTTCTCTTATCTTCCATGAGTGTGTGTGTGTGATGTTATTATCATGGACATGGACACTAAATCCATATTGGTTTGTGTATTTCAGATATTACGAAAGTGCGGAGGCTCTGTTGAGCTTGTTGATGTATCTTCGGAACTCCCTCAGCTTGTTCGCAGACCAGGTCTTAAGACTTGGAAGGTTTGTCTCCACTTTTTTTTTTTTTTTTTTTTTTTTTTTACACCAAAATTTATTTATAAAATAAGATATGACCAAGTGTGTTTGGGGGTTACAGTTGATCCAACTTGTGCAATCATTGAGTTTCCATCATTACAACTTTTATGTACATAAACAAACGGCAATTGCAGCCTACTTTAATCCTTTACTAGCAATTTACTTACCCATACGAACACCCAACTGAAAAAATGCTTTCTCATAAAAGCAACATGCCTGCATTTCTTTACCAAACTACCAATATGAAAAACAATACTTGTAAACATTTTATCAGTTTTAGGTTATATATATATATATATGTTGCAATTATTGGTAAAATAATATAAGTATGTTGCTATTATTGGTAAAATAATATAAGTATGTTGCTGTTTCTTTTATTTAAGTATATGTAGGTTGCTATTACTGATTTGAATCGGCGTTTTTTAAATTTTTTTTTATTGGGAATGGAAATGCAGGTTCGAGACAAAGGCACGTGGTTAGGTTCTCATAAAGATGCATGCAAATATGGAAGATCTGGGATTGTTCCTAGCATGTTTCCTTCTGGCCAACCCCATGTTGACACATCATCTGATGAAAACGGGGATAATAATAATGATGATGTTTTGGTGACCGAAGTTTCATCTCTTCCTTTAGAGTGTTGCATGCGCATTGTCCCTCATGACCAGAACACTGGAGCCTTTTTTATTGCTGTTTTGCACAAAATATCTCCTTTGCCAGGTCATTTCTATAATCCCTTCACTTTCCAACATTTAATAATCCAAGTTGGAATGGAATCAAAACCTCATGTTTGTTTTCTAGTGGTTCCTTCAGTTTTTAATCCCATGTGGGAGGGGTTTTATTTTTCTGTAAATTATTATTATTATTCTTTACATCAATCATCTTTAGTAAAGAACTTCAAAACTTTAGTTTATATTTTCTCTTATCTTATTAAAAATACAACCAATGTTTTTTTATTCATAATTCTATTTCTAAATGTCATGGTCTTCATTTTTTTTAAAAAAAGTGATAAATAAACCTTTTGACTATCCAAAATACATATGTAATAATAAATATATGTCAAATGAAATTTAAATATATTATATGTAATTTATTTAGCGACTTCACCTAGTTTTATCAAATATAATTTCATTTAAATTTCTATTCGTACATAGAATCATTATAGAAGACTTGCTCCATACCATTCATTCATTCCATTATTTTCTGATTCCATTCCATCATGTGCAGTCATACAAACAAAATCAAGCAAACATTCCCGGCAGCCTCAATCCGATAGTGATGAAAAAACGAAACAACCAGAAGATGACAAGGCAATGAATGTAGATGTGAAAAATGAAGAATCCGATAGTGATGAAGCGACTAACCCAAGCAAAAAACTCAAAGGAACCGAGCCTGAGAAAACCGAAACCCTAAATAACCCAAAATCTCGTGCAGAAAAGGCTAATGACAAGAGAAAATTGCAAATTCAAGGCAAGTGGTTTGGGGTTGACCCTGTTGTTTTCTTTAAAGATGATGCTATTCTCGCTAATATCAAGGAATTTTACGGAATTCCTGAATCCTTTTCCTTCACTCATCGGCTTATCACACGAAATAGTGATACAAATCATGTGAAGAGAATTTACTATGTATCCGAATCTGTGAAGAATGTTGTTGAACTCAATTTCTTAGCTGGCGAGCAACTCAAGATAACTTCAATTGGTTTGAAGATGTTTGTAAGTTGTTTTTGGCCTTTTTTAAGCTCAACATAGACTGCTTTTGTTACACGGGATTGGATTGGACTAGACAAAACTTTTTAGGGCTGTTTTTGACAAGGCTGGCCTTTCTGGGTTGGACAAAAAATTGCAATTATTGTAACATTGACATCAGCCTTGCTTCCGGTCTCACTACAATCTGTTTGCAGATTCCAATGTAACTGAAATTCGAGATTCCATTCCACACTATTATGGTATATGGTATGTTTGATTGCTGAATGGATGGGACAGACTTCAATACCACCTGAATCCTTCAAATTCCTTTTTTGATGGGAGATCCTTATTTTCCTAGGAGAGGATGGAAGGAATTTAATTTGATTCTTCATTTTTCTTTTAAAAGACCAAAATGCCCTTTTATATATGTATATGTACGCATATGCATATATATATACACACACAGAGCAAACCAAAGATGTGTAAACAAACACATGACAAAAATTTAATTTTTGGGCTTATTATTCAGGAAAGGCAAACATCAAGAGAAGGCACTTCCTCACCTTGTGTATTCAGAATATCTTCAGAAGGGTTGCCATTGCTTCTTCCACACATGACCAAACAGATTACTTCTTCACCTGCTGTAGATTTCAAGCATTTACTGCAATACAAATCCATCAAATTCCCTGATATTGTCGATGATCGATTTCGTGAAAAAGTTGCAGCCCTTGCTTTGGGCTGTTGTGTGGTGGTCCTCAACAAAGGTTTGTTCTGCAAATGTTTTTTTTTTTTTTTTTTTTTTTTTTTTTTTTTTTTTTTTTTTTTACTTAAATGTATAATGGGGATGAAAAGTATATAACTTTTTCCAAAATTGCTCTCATGTTGCATGCCTTGCTGTTTATTTTTGGTTAAATCTGATTATGACATTGTACTGTAAAAAATCTACCCAATTAAACCATTGTCATCCGAACACAAAGCAATTTTCAGTTGGGTAGTATATTCAAAGTATTAATAAGGAAAAAAAGTAAAAGTACAGTGTTATAGTTAATTACAGTTTTTTCAAAGTACAGTGTCTTGATAAGAAAAAAAATGGGAATACAGCGTCGTAATAGAAATACATGAAGTAATGATACTATAACAAACATTGTAGTTTGAAAAGTCCACCCAATTATAGCAGTGCCATCCAATTACAAAGCCATTCTCATTGCTGTATTGGGTAGAATGTAGATCTTTCAAAGTACAATATCATAATAAGAAAAAACTGAAAGCAGATTTTGCTATAATAATTGATCCGATTTTTTCGAATAGGAAAAAAAATGCTTTAAAAAAATCATGAAGGAATGATGCTATGATAAACATTGCAGTGAGAAAAATCTACCTAATTATCCAAATACAAAGCAATTCTTCACAGCTATATTGAGTTTGGTATAGATTGTTCAAAGTACAATACCCTACTATGAAAAGGAAGTTTAAAAGCACAAACTTGTATAATTAATAAGAAATAAATGAAAGTACGTTGCTATTTCTTGCTTTTAGCTTTTTTTTTTGCATGGCAGGTAACGAAAATGAAGGCGAAGGCGTATCGGATCGGCCTAAAGTGGATAAGTCGACAATTGCGATTGGTTGTTGGAAAGGACGGTCGAGTTTATCAGTAATGGTGACAGCTGTAGACTGTCAGGAATTGTTGGAAAGGTTATTGATTCGGTTTGAGACCCAAAAGGAATCTTTGGCTGAAGATGCAATAAAAGTTAAGGAAACCGAAACAGTTGGTTGAAGTTGAAGTTGAACTAAAAAAATGTAGGATCAGGATCAGTTATGTTGGTAATGCTATTAAGCTAAACATTTTTAAACTATTTATTCCAACGACTGAAATGCAAAAAGCAGAAGCACGACATTTTTGATTGTTTCACCAGAAATAATTACACTGCTTCATATAGGTGATATAAGTTGTGCATTTTTTACCAATGGTAAAAGGTTGCTATCTTAGGCGCCACATCAACTTTTACGTTTCTTACAAAATTTACCTGCTGCTAGGGTGTGATAATGGCTTTACCTATGAACTTTATTATTATTATTATTATTATTATTATTATTATTATAATAATAATAATAATAATAATAATAATAATAATAATAATAATAATAATAAAGTTATAAAAGAGTTATATATATAGAATTAATTTCTAGATGAATATAGAATTATAAAATTAAATAATGGAATAAAGTGACAAGGTGGTGGCTACTTTGTCTAGAAGGTCCGACCCCATATCCTTTGGATTTTAGAATCTGGATTCACAAAATATGCAATACTGGATTCATAAAGCCCTCCAATAGACTTACACCGGCGGTAATCTACCGCTGGTAAAAAAAATCGGTGGGGATGTTCACTGCTTGTAAAACGTGCCACGTTTGATTTTTGATTACTGTCGATAAGCTTGTTACAACACCCCACAGCTAAGGCTGGAGGGAGTCATCCCTCTCAACCCATTTAACCCGCCACATCACCTTTTTTTTTTTTTTTTTATTATTATTATTATTATTATCTTTCTTAACCTACATGTAACATGGAAATTTTATTTTTTTCAACTTATTTAATCTATTTTCTACATCATTTATTTTTATTTAATTAAATTAAAAAAATATAAAATAAAATATAACAAACATCTTTTTCATTTAAAATAAGAATTTGCTAATTAAAAAAAATCTAAAATAATATTAAAGTTTATACAAACTTATATTGTATAAACTTTAATAGTGTCAATAAATTTGAATGCAAACGTATAAAGTTTTTACGAAATTTGAATGAAAAAAATAAAATAGTAATAATAATAAAATCTAGGTTGAAAACAAACGATGATGCACGCATTAAAGTAAGTGGGCCTCTCCGAACCCGATTCTATACTTTAAACTAATGAACCCACCGAACCCTTTCAAGATGGAATGGTTAACCGGCGGTCCTGTCGGTACTCCCCTTTCAAGCCGCCACGGTACCCTCCATCCTAAGGGATGAGAGAGTCATTCCCTCCCAACCCACTGAACCTACTGTCACATTAATTTTTCTTTTTTATTTTTTTCATCATTTCCCAACCTACTACATACGGAAACCCTATCTTTTTTCAACCTACTGTCACATTAATTTTTCTCTTTTATTTTTTTTCATCATTTCCCAACCTACAACACACAGAAACCCTATCTTTTTTCAACACACTTAACCCATTCAACTAAAAAAAAAATACAAAACAATCAAAGTAAAATCTTAATTAGCAACAGAGTTACCGCCGTAACCATATTTGGTAAATACTTGACCCGGTTATGCATGATCTTTTTGGGCTGCCTTCACCAATGCAACTTGAATGGAGAAATAAATAGAGAAAGAGGTTATTATGATTTATTAATATGTTATAAGAATAATATATTAAAGGAGAAATCATATTTGCGAAATTAATATTGGTCACTAATTAATTAGGAATTAATTTTGTGATCAAGTGTAATTAATTAAACTAGAGGGGCGGAATTGTAATTATGTGATAGTTGCAAAATAAGGCAATGATTATCCTTGGAGGAGGGTGGATGAATTCAAGGGATTGGATATCCTTGAAATCGTCCATATGATCCAAGAGATAAGGGTTATCAAAGCTTATCTTATGGTTGCTTGGTGGGCAAGTAACTGGATAAGGATAAGGACTGAAACCCTAATCCTAACCCTATATAAAGACCCTTAGGCCTTAAGAAATCGTCCCAATTGCTTCTAAGAGATCCCTAGGCCGATTTCTACCTCTCCCATTCTCTCTTTATAGCCTCTCCAATTGCTTGTGGTGTTTGTGAGCCATTAGAGGCACTACACTTGTGGTGTTTGCTTTCAAGACTTAGGGTTTGAAGATTTAAGTTGTTATTACAATATAACAACAAGAGGTATGTGATCTAACCTTATATGTGAATTTCGAAAATAGCAACATACTTTAGGGTTTTATTCATGTGTTCATAAAGTTGTATATCTAATAGTGAAAACATAGATCCAAATCTAGGGTTGCATGCACACATAGTATTGTTTGTATAAAACCCATCAGTGGTATCAAAGCCTTTGGTTAACTTGTTTTCAATTAGTATTATTTAATTGTATGAACTTGACAAATTAGGGTTTATTTCTATAAACCCTAGGAGGCTATAGATTTCGAGATTAGGGTTTCCTAACCCTAATTTGCAAAAATCTTGAAGCTTTTTTTTTTTGAATCCTTTCCTTTTAATTCAAGATTTCGAAATCTAGGGTTTGCAAACCCTTAGATTTCGAGATTTGCCTCCTTCCCCAAGATAAGATCCTAAATTTGAGGGATTTGGATAATCTCATATCTTGTAATTATCTCTTAATTGTTAAATATGGTAATTAAATATTTTGAATTATCCCTTCCCATTATTTTCGAAATTTAGAGGGATAAAAGGGTTTAGGATAATTTGATTTATTAATTGGTAATTATCCTTTAAGATTTAATAATCCCCTATGATTTAATAATTTGAATTAATAGTTTAATTGGAGATAATTATTAAATCAAGAGTTTTAATATTTAAAATTTTAATTTGAATGACATTAAATTTCGAAAATTTTAAATTGAAGATTAAAACCCTAGTATTTTGAAATGTTTAAAATACACCATATACTATTATATTATTACAAGCTTAAGAAATATATATGTATAAGTAAAATGTTAGTCTTACCGTTAGTAGGCCTCATTCATGTAGCCGATCTATAAGGTGGGTATAAGGTTGCTACCTATAAAATGACGCTTAATGGGTGTACACTCACACCCACCGCTTGCTTGACTGGTGGATGGTCGTTAGCCGAACGGGTAGGATAGGGCAATCCTCTCCTCATTAATAAGTATAATGAATATAAATAAAGTAACTAAATATTTTTTAAATTCCCAATCCTAGTTACTTTAGGCAAAAGTGAAATTGATGCAATCCCAAGAAATTACACTTTGCACCCTTTCTAAGAAGTTAGTGGAGCGTGTGTGGTTTACCGGCACACTAATTGGTTCTAAGCAAAGGTGGTAAAGGGTGATTCATTGTTTGTCATAGTTCGATGGAGCGTGTGTGGTTTACCGGCACATTAAATAGGTGATTGTAACAATGAAGGCACCATGTGGATTTGCATGGTTATTCACACCCACTTTGTGATCCTCGGCATCCCAGTCACAAACGAGAGGGGCATATCGAGATTTAAACATGCCATTGAAAATTTCAATGAATCTCCAAGAAAAACTAGGAATTCTCAATACATTTAAAACTTAAGCTTATGTTTTTCATGGTGAAGAATTAGTGAATCGTCATTCACTTACCTCCAAATTATTTGCGTGTTGGATTGGGGGTTTAATTAGGATTCAATTCTAATCAAACTTTGTCCTTTCTATTTGTAGATGTCTAACGCAAACAACGTTGCTGTTAGCTCATTCACGCTAATGAGCCTTTGTCAAAAAATGACTTTCGATGGATCGAACTTTAACGAATGGATAAGATACATTCGCACTATCGCGCGTTACAAGGACAAAGAGTATGTTCTCGATGAGAAGCTCGAGAAAATCAATCCTGAAACTGCTACTCCCGAAGAGATGGCTGTCTTTGAGACCCATGAGCGTGATGCAACGAAAGTTCATTGCATCATGATAGTCACAATGAACTCCGAATTCCAAAAGTCCTATGAGGACATGTATCCCTACGAGATGCATATAGACTTGATGGAGAGATATCACCAAAGCATGAGGCAAGAGCGCTATGAAATCATTACGAATATGATCACTGCTAAAATGGGAAGTGGAGAGTCTCTAACCGTGCACTTGCAAAAGATGCAAAGGTATGTTGATCGTCTTCGCAAGTTGAATGTCAACTTTGGGGAAGATTTGGCTATCGACATTGTTCTTCACTCCTTGCCCTCGTGCTATAACCAATTTAGGATGACCTACCACGTGAACAAGGAAGAGGTCACCCTAAGCAAACTCCAAGGGCTCCTAAGGACTGTTGAGAGCAACCTAAAGGACAAGTCTGTTGCACCAACTCCTAATCCACCCACTACTACTGTTTTGGCAATTGGGCAAAGAAGGGGCAAGAAGAGGAAGGCTCCGTCAAAGAGCCACCACAAGGGAAAGTCCCAAGATGGTTCCTCTTCTAGTGGGACCAAGGTTGATCCTGCTAAGCCCAACTCTAACCCAAAGGAGGCAGAGTGCCATCATTGCCACAAAATAGGGCATTGGAAGAGAAGCTGCCCGGGATATCTGCAAGCCATCGAGGATGGAAAGATCAAGCCATCTAATGCAGGTATATACACTATTAAATCTAATGATTCATCTCATGCTATTTCTTGGGTTCTTGATACAGGATGTGGTTACCACATTTGTTCTGATTTGCAGGGACTAAGAAGAAATAAGGATGTAGAGCATGGAAGGAGAGATCTAATCATGGGAAACAGAAGATCGTCGCCTGTCACCAAGATTGGAGTGTATTCTTTAGTGCTTAGTAATGGATTAGGTTTAGAATTAAATAATTGTTGCTGCTCGCCAGATATGGCAAGAAACATCTTCTTTTCATGGTTTGTTTAGACAAGGATTTAGATATTCATTTAATAATGAGAATGGTTCTATTTATGCTTACCTAAATGGTGTTTTATACTTTGAAGCAATGCCTTGTAATGGAATTTATGAAACTGTTATGGTTGTAGATAACCTAGGAAATGATGTGTTGTGTATGGATTCTTCCAATATTATGGATAAAGCATCTTTATGGCATTGTCGTCTTGGACATGTTAACACGAAGCGCATAGCCCAACTCCAAAAGGATGGAGTGTTGGAGTCATTCGACCTTAGGGAAGATGACACGTGCGAATCTTGTATCTTGGAAAGATGACCAAGTCACCCTTCACTGGCACTTGTGAGAGGGGTGAGGGTTTATTGGATCTCATACATACCGATGTATGTGGACCCTTTAGATCCACCACAAAGGTGGACACCGCTTCTATGTGA